AAAAAAGTGTTGAGGAATCCATAGATTGTCCTAAACGATTGTATTCCCATATAAACCAAAGGACAAAAAGAAGAGGAAATATTCCTGCACTGTGGGGAGACAGTACTGTCGCGTCATTAGTGGAGGACGACTTTGGTAAGGCTCAGGTGTTCTCAAACTACTTTAGCAATGTATACACCATAGAACCACACTTCCCGTCAGCGCATAAAAATATCCCCACACATTCACCATTAAAGAACTCGACTTCTTTGGTCTGCTAAATAAGCTTGACATAGGTAAATCCACGGAGCCCGATGAATCGCACCCTAGGCTACTAAAGTAATTATCTAATTTCGATGCGAATCCTTCAAGTATATGCTTTAATCTATCCGTAACGCAGGGTCGTTTACCAAAAGACTGGAAGAACACCATAGTAAGTCCTGTCTCCATAACAGGTACGAAACATAAACCTGAGAATTACCGACCCGTTAGCCTAACTAGTATGGTTGTTAAAATCTTATAAAAGGTTACTCGGAAGGAGCTGTTTAAGTACCTCGATGAAAACCGGATCCTTACAGAGAAGCAGCATGGTTTGGGAATAGGTTATTCTTGTCTCACTAACTTATTAGTCGCTCGTGAAAGCTGATGCTCTATTAAGGATCAAAAGTTACCTGTAGACGTAGCCTACATTGATCTCAGGAAAGCTTTTGACAAAGTGCCACACAACCGGCTGTTATATAAGCTGAGAAATGTCGGAAATGATATGGATAAAAGACTTACTAGTTTGGCGCCAACAAAGAATAGGGTGGACTCAAAGTTATCTAGCTTGGAAATGGTACTTAGTGGAGCACCCCATAGTACAGCTTTGAGGCCAGTGCTATTCCTCTTGCTTGTAAATGACCTTCCTCGTCTCCTATCATCATCGCTCTTGCTGTATACTGACGATGTCAAGATATGGAGAATGATACGATATGAGGGTGATAGCTTAGAACTCCGAAATGACCTGCAGAAATTATCTGAATGGTCTCAAACCTGGCAGTTGCCGACAAATACTTCCAAGTGTGTTGTGATGCATATCGGTCATCAAGGTACAGATACATACACGATGAATAACACTGAGCTACCTGTCGTCCAGACACATAGTGACTTAGGAGCCATCGTTAGCCAAGACTTAAAGACTACTGCACACTGCCATGCAATAGACGCCAAAGGTTTTAGAACCTTATGGTCAGTACGTAGAGCTTTTAGTCATGTCCGCGCTAAAATGTTATTGACTTTGTATACAGTGTTCGTACGTCCTAAACTTGAGTACTGCATACAAACGGCTAGCTCCAGCTTAGAAAAAGACAGTGAGCTTTTGTAGAAGGTTCAGAGAACAGCAAATAAGCTGATTCCCGGAATAGCGAAGCTTCCGTATGATGCTCGACTGGCCAAGCTAAACCTTTTACCGTTGTCACATCGTAGATCTAGAGGCAACTTGATCACAGATTTCAAATTACTCAGTGATAAATTTGCATCTGATATGCCCTCATTTTTCTCGTCTTCCAAAACAGAGAATTTACGAGGACACTCCAAAAATGTTCACAAGCCCAGAACATATTACTTGTCAGCTGACTATCGACTTTCCCATCGAATCATCAACGAGTGGAACCCATTAACTCAGCATGTATTTGAGGCTCCATCCGTCGACTTTTTCAAAAAAAAGTTGGATCGACTGAGTGACCACAATCGCCAGGACTAACACAAGCCATCAAGCCTCCTGTCTTTTCCAAACTGAAACTTATTGAATGCAAAAACAGCCGCTGTCAAAGGTTTTCGTGCGTTATAGTCACATCGCCGTGTGTTCAAATCTTTTGACGAGGAAATGTTTCGAATTTTTTATCTCACCTACGTAATACCACATTTAGAGTACTATATTCAAGCAGCTAGCCCATGTCTGGTGAAGGATACTAACTCCCTTGAGCGTGTCCAGCGTGTGGGAACGAAATTAGTGAAGGGTCTTTCTAAACTCCCTTACGATGAGCTTGTAGCGTGGCGTCGAGTTGAGATTAACTATGAACACCGCTACCAGGAAACAGGTGCCAGATAAATCAGAAGGCGAGGGTTGGACGTAACCAAATAAATCCATAAAATCCCCGAGAAGCCAAATATCAGAAGACAGTTAATGGACCAAGTCGAGGTTTATTAGCTGGCGATCTCGTGGCATCGAAAGGATACCGAGATCGTGCCAGGATACAACCTTGGTTACAGAACGTAACCGAATTCGCGCGAAGTTACAATCGAAGTGTAAGTATAAGAATGGAAGCACAAAATAGCTGTCATTAGCACAGTCAAACAAAAGCACATTAAAACAAACACTGGTACAGTTGGTTGTAATAATAATTGTTTTTATTAAACCAGTCGTGTTCTCGTGATAAACGTGAGTCACTACAGGAGCCCCCCGCTAGAAAGGGTTTACACTTTCGATAAATAGCGGTTTGAATCGTGGGACTGATCGGCTGACGAGCGATTGTAGGACGGAAGAATTGGCGAACAGGAAAGCGATCGTTGATCGTCGAGTTGCCAACGAAGGTCGTTTTCGGAGAACAGTACCAGGAGCGATGTGCTGTATGTATTGCTTGAGTTGGCATGCTACACCAGAGTGGTTTGTATCCAGAATCTGAAGAGGGCGTTCGTACGGGTCCGGACCATAAACGCTGCAGACGAAGGACGAAACCACGTTGAGCCAAAAGACCAGAAGCGACCATAACGACCAAGTTTGAGACCAAGCGTATGCCAAGCATTCGAAACCAATATATCGACTGAGTACGTTGACAAGAGCGTGGGTGGCCAATCCAGCTTTCGCCAAAGTTGACTGAAGTCGACGGAACCAAACGGAGATGGTCGAAGGCGTGGGCTCAGGAAACAAAAAGAAAATCAAAAAAAGAAGAGTGTAGCATACGTGTAGTATAGGAATAATCCTACACCGTATCGGTTGTTGACTGTGCGACTAGTCGCGGAGGCGTACGGGTAACCGTACTCGGCGACCGGAACGTGAGACGGCAGTCTCGTTCGTATTTCGTGAGCCTGCAATCTCATCCGAGGTCAGAGGCGGCGTGGTCTGCTGATCTGGACGTGAGACTGTCGTCTCGTCCGTAGAGGGTGCAGATGACGCGTGCTGTTGACCGGGACGTGAGAATGAGGTCTCAGATACATCTAGCGTGGGACCTGAAGAAGATTTAAGGATCCCGCTAGGTTTGATAGGTCTAGCATTGAATCTCAGGGTGTCAGATAGGGCACTGTCATCGACGTGTGCTGGTTTGAGACGATCAATGCTGACGATCTCGACGCGGCCATGTCGATCAACCTTGAAGGTCTTTTCGTGACGAGCGATCACGTGAAAAGGGCCTTCGTAAGGTTGTTGCCAAGGTTGGCGTACCGAATCTACTTGTACAAAAACATGTGAACAGGTAGATAACTCTCGAGGGAGAGCGACCTGTCGATGTTGTATTCGAGTTGACACCGGAGACAGCGTTCGCATAAATGCAGACAGTCGATGGACGTAGTCTGATTTACGGAAATTAGGTCTGCTCCGTGGTGTGAAGAATTCTCCGGGCAGACGCAATGTCGTGCCGTATACAAGCTCAGTGGCGGAACATTGGATATCTGCCTTTAAGCTCGTTCTCGCCCCTAAAAGAACGAGCGGTATGGTTTCGTGCCAGTTGCCGTTTTCGTGTGCTCGTAGAACACTTTTAAGTTGGCAGTGAAACCGTTCAACTTAACCATTTGGTGCTGGGTGGTAGACGGAGATGCTTATGCGTATGCATTCCGTACCAAGCAGCCGGGTCAGCGAGGAGAATCGTTAATAGGGTAACATTTCTCGAATGAAGCGTGGAATTCATCATCACGCGAATAAAAAGTGACAAGGATTCGATACACATACGTGTGAGTCTATTATATTAATACTATTCTTATCGTTATCCGTCATGTCGCGTATATTATATATTAAAAATATGAAAATATACGAGAGACGTGGATAGATAAATCATAGACTCACCGAATTGGCTTCTTTGGAAGATTTGATCAGAAGTTGAATCGTGTTCCAAAATACGGCTCACCAATTGTAGCGTGGCGTCGAGTTGAGATTAACTATGAACACCGCTACCAGGAAACAGGTGCCAGATAAATCAGAAGGCGAGGGTTGGACGTAACCAAATAAATCCATAAAATCCCCGAGAAGCCAAATATCAGAAGACAGTTAATGGACCAAGTCGAGGTTTATTAGCTGGCGATCTCGTGGCATCGAAAGGATACCGAGATCGTGCCAGGATACAACCTTGGTTACAGAACGTAACCGAATTCGCGCGAAGTTACAATCAAAGTGTAAGTATAAGAATGGAAGCACAAAATAGCTGTCATTAGCACAGTCAAACAAAAGCACATTAAAACAAACACTGGTACAGTTGGTTGTAATAATAATTGCTTTTATTAAACCAGTCGTGTTCTCGTGATAAACGTGAGTCACTATAAGCTTTTGAAACGCCTTAACCTTTTCCCCTTGTCGTATCGTAGGACGCGAGGTGACCTTATGCTGGCATTTCGTATCTTTAATTATGATTTGGGTGTTAAAGTGTCTTATCTTTTTGCTCTCTCTAGCACTAATAATCTCTGAGGTCGTAGCAAGAAGGTTCATAAACCGCGATCTAATAAACTTAAAGTGGGGTACCGTTTTCCTCATCGAGTGGTCAATGACTGGAACGCCTTACCCGAACAAGTGTTATCAGACCCATTAGCGAATATTTCCAAGGAGAAATTGGATCTTCACTGGAAGGCAATCTGTCAGGTTTAACACAGGTTCACCAACCTACTATCCTTATTACTGAAGACTGAAGACCTAATACTAAGAGTTTGCCTCCGAGTTATTCAAAACCTTCAAGTAATTCATAATAAAGGTCCAGGACCTCCGCTGTTCATCAAAACACATGATCTAAGTAATCAGTTTTTTATAATGCTTCACCTCCGAAATACCGGTTATTGAAATTATTCGACCTTGGTTGTGTATATGAAAGTGTGCGTTTCGAAATGGCTTGCTCTCTCGGTCTGAAAAAGTGCTTATCCGTCTGTGGTAATCATGATGAAGTACGATCTGTCTTTATGAATGAATTTTTCATAGGAACTTCTGTTATCTACTCTGTCAAGCGTTAGAGCGGAACTACAACATGGCTTCAAGTACTATTCTCAGGTTGGGTACGTTCAATTTTTCATCAATACAAGTTCCGCATTAGTAATCTTGATACTTTGTCCAAAGAGCATGTGCGACGCTTTGTCAAAAAGATGTCTGGATTCTTGGTTTGTCTAAATCAATAATAGTCATATAGCTTAGGATCTGTCTGAATCTCTTTGTCATGAAATTTTAGTTCATTTTCTTGCTGTTGAAGATATTCCGGATGATCACATAGATGTAACTTCTTCCCTAGTATTTTAGTTGTTCTAGGAGGTGCTTTCAGGTTGGTCAGCAAATTGCCTCTTGGAAGACGTTCGACGGTTCTACTGGAAAGATCGCATATGTCTAATTAGACTTCTGAAGCTATGCGTTTGCCAATGGCACGATTCTTGGTCACTGGTTTCCGATGTTCTTTTTGCAATGACATCATACGAAAGCTGCAGGGATTTGGTTGTTGATGTAGATTAATCGTATTTAAATTATTAGTTTAGGCTTTAGATGAATATCACATTCAGCACCAAAATACATGCTCTTTAATTGAAAGTTGGAGTCATTCATCTTCAGTACGTCCTATCTTATTAATATTAAGACTTTGCATTCCAGGGTTTTGTTTCAAATCGTAACACAGTTGGAGCTGATGAATCGAATCAATTTGGTGTGATTGCTGCCCAAAAACTAAAGGAGTTAATTGAACTGCTTGAACTTATCCTTCTAGGCGTTCATGGTCTTTGTCTTAATGGTACGAATAAAAATTCTCCTGTTGTGTTTAAGAAAGTGTTGGAGACGTTCTGGGTAATTTTCTAACGCTACGTAACTTATGTTTTAGTCTATTTCCTTCGGATCGTCTCTCAAAAATCTTAGGACAAATAATTTGATGGTGGACCAAATTTGGTATGTATTAATGTCGTTAATATCTGAGTTTCACTTTAAACATAACCAACTTATTCAGCAATGATTTTAGTGGTCATTATAAGGGATATTTTGCGATTCAGTCTAGTGCATTTTAAACTCTCCAACAAATCTTTTCCAATATACATCTTTTCTCTGAATAGTGGGCTGTGTAGTAGGACCCTTTATGTATGGGATATTTGGCTTCACTCATTGCTTGTAATTGTAACAGAAACTACCCTCGTTTTGCAACCGAAACTTCACACATCAACATTTTTGGATTTTCCAGTCAAATAAACCACTGACCCAGACAAAATTATTTTGTCGAAGGACCTGTAAAATAAACACTTATCTCGGAAGTCTAATCAGCCGTGATGGATTTGGTTCTGACGAAATTTCTGTACGGATTCGAAAATCTCTTGGCTTTTACCAACTTACGTCACCTATGGTAAAAGCGACATATCTGTCTATCAATTAAGGAACGAGAATATTGCGCAGCAGTTCATTCTGTTTTATTTTACGGCTGTGAAACGTGGCCACTGAGCGTAAGGGATGCCCTTAAGTTACTAGTATTTGATCATAGATTTCTTAGAAATATTACTTGCATTTGCCGGGATCACCGGGTAAGTAATGGTGCAGTTAGATGCAAGGTATTAGGAAATGATAAATCAGTTGAAGTTGTGGATCTTAATCGACTGAGGTGGTTGGACCAAATGTTACGTATGCTTGAACACCTATTACCACGACGCTCAATTCTGACTAGTGTTGGACAGATGGAAGAAAGTGAGGAGCGACCAAACCAAAGCGCGACATCAGTCCATAAAGTCGCTAACTTTTGGTCTGAGTTATGTTTTTAGATGAAAACTACTTGGTTGGGGTTCGCACTATTATCGTCACCAGTAGTTAGATACTGTGCGACCGCCCAGTATCGATAACAGTGGCGTAGGTGTATACACATTTTGTTTTCCCTTATACCGTGAAATTAAAATTACCTTACACCCCTCTTTCTACGGACTAATTCTTTCTTCATTTATCATATCCTTATATGAAATTTTTTTTACTACCATTAAAGCGACTGCTTCTATGAATTTGGTGTTCATCTTGTCGTGCCAACGAGGTATGACAACTTGGACTGATTCATATATGTGCCCGGTCTTACGTTGTAGCTGACTGAAAATATCATGTCTGAAAACTTAAATAGCCAATAACTTTCATTTAATTCAGAACTTTGTTCCTTCCTTTGTTTGTTGTTGCATAATGTGATAATAAATCATAAGTTCTTTTGTTTGTTTCAGTTTCACACAGACACTTATTCTTATTCGAGCAGCGAATTTGGATTCTATAGTTTTGTTTTCGAATCAGTAAGTTTTCGTTATCATGAATCTTCATGACAATATTGTATTGACTTACAGTTGAATATTAATAATTTTTGTGGTATGATATTGTGCACACATAAATTTCCAAATTATTTTGTTTTTCATAGGTCACTCGATGACTTCGCATTGCCCTACCGCAGGTTGAAAAATTCCAATGTTGCATCTAAATCAAAATTGGCTTCAGAAATTACCACTAGTTCAAAAGATGAAGTACCCACTCACTTCTTATACGATTCTAATTTACTAAATCGACTGCTAGCTAGTTTATCGAACCTTGGGGAGTATCAGGTGCACGGGCCATTGTTGTTATTTGGTGCAGTTTGTGCAATTGCTTTCACTCATTCGGGGTCAGTTTCTCGTAACTCATCGGATCCGAGTCCTGACTCAACCTACGAACTTTCTGATTACTCGAAGTCACAAAATTTTGACGAGAATATATCTGTTATTTCTGAACATTGTGCTCAAATATCGATCCAGAACCTCGATGTATTTCGATTTTTAGTTGGGAGATTAGATCGTATTGATTTCAGTCCACCCCAGGTCAGTCACTGGTCATAGTTTTATTTTCACCAGCTTTATCATTCCTAAAAGACCAATTGTTATTTTAGAATTATCTACTATTAACTAACGATATCACGCTTACTTTCGTTTCCCGATATTTGAAATATTCTATTTTTCAGGGTTGAAAAACAAGATTTTTCCGTCCGTCTTTAGTTTATATTCGTTAATTATCCTTTAATCCTTGTCTACGGAACCTTCGGTCTTTATTTCCATCATGAATACTGATCGGCTTTGGTTTGAATCTTGTGAATATCGAAGTAAAATAATCAAAAAAAATCATTGAGCAATTAATAATAATGAAATCAAATATCAACTTTATCTATCTCGTGCCTTATTTAAATGACTTTTTCAAGCTTTTGATCATAACTATCATAAAAACATTCGGAGTTCAGCCCATGTTCTATTTGTTTATTTATTTATTTGAAAACAAATAATGGTACAAAGGGGCACCGAATTCATATGCACCACACAAGTCACTTGATTTATGTGTGGGCTGTGATAGTGCTCGAGTGCCCAAACCAAAGCAGGTGGTTTTCTTAGTGGGCCACTCCCAGAGCCTTCGACCTAATGGTCTGATCCACAAGGCAGTGGAACAAAGTAAGGAGATGCAGTCTCATGGTAGCCGGTGACCAATAATTGGTTCATACGCTATTTGTTCCCTCATGATCCTGGAGCCCATATGCGCCATTGGCTTAGAATTAGGGTCTTCCAACTCCCCTAGGTGGATCCTCTGTATCCACCAACCCTATTAAAGCGCCGGACATTCGGTTTTCGTCCTCTCAATTTCGTAAACAACACCCCCACCGCGAGAAGGCGGTGAATATGTCTTCCTTGACAGTGGCTGTCTGCGTGTGGTCATGTGAGATTTGAATCACCTTTTATTGGATGTGACTTAGAACACAGTACGAAGAAAGCTTTACTCCAGTGTTCTTCAGTCCTAGTTTTACGGCTTCAATGATTATGTCTGTGGATTAGAGTATTCGGATAGTTTTCATGTTTTCATATTTAATAGCTAGTGAGTTGCGTTTGTTGTACAACAAAAATGGTTTTGTGTTTTTCTACCGTCTAATATCCCCAACAACGTCCCTCTGAGATTCTAAATATGATACTCTCGCAAATTTTCTAACTATCCTTAAATGAACGTGGTAGTTAAGGCAGAGTTACCTATTTTGAAATATCTCAACGTTGACTCATTTAGTATGGTGTCCTGGAATAAGTGACCGACCCATCGAACTACAACATTATCGTATTCCATAACTGTCCTTACCATAGATCTTTTATAGGGAACTAGATTATCAGACTTGTCATAGACGAAGGGATTTTTTTACTTATGTTCCAACTCTGCAATAATATAACAGGTGCATGAAGTTTGTAATACATAACCCAGTTTCTTTACTTTATACCTATACCTAAAGATCAAAAAGTATAGGTATTCAAATATATAGATTAGTCAGTCTATTTTGATGGTTAAGTACACATTGACTCACAAATTACGAGCGAATTATGCAGAAGGAACTTAGTTCCACTTACTAACGCCAACATCGGTGTTTGGTTTATTCTACGTAGTAAATTTACAGTGTAGAGGGCACATACATGTACATTTTTTCTCAGCTAAGTATTAGTCGTCCCAAACGATAGTCACGGTTGTTTAATTATTAGTATTTCCAAAAAATCAGCATCTGCTCGGACCACTAATTTAGGAGTATCCTAGTCTTAGAATGCTGGGTAAGGAAGATAATTCCTAGTGAAGAAGTTGCGGTTCCTTACAATTTACCTGCATAAGCTTTTAAAATTCTTATAATCTGGTGACATTCATTCACTTCTCGTCCAAATACTGGGCGTTTTTTATACTTATGCAGTAATGATTCACATTAATCGATTGCTTCAACATTTCTTCAAAAAGGTCTCGCATATGGATTGCAATGTTTCTGTCCCATATAGTGAGTTTAATGCTAGTCTCGTTAGCTTGGCTACTCATAGCGCCATATTTGATCTGGTTACGCTCCTAGCACGAGGTGTCACATTATGGTCGTTGGATAGCAATCCCCCTCCTACTTCACAGTTATTTGATTCTCTTGATTATCCAAACAGAGATGGATTTCTTACTTTGTTCTCACGAACTCTTCGAGTTGTTGTAACTAATGCCCATTTGGTTCGTTGTCCAATGTCTAAGGGAATTCCGGACACTTCAGATGATGTTCCAGATTTTCCAGTGGATAGTGGCCCGAGAATTGGCTGTCGGATTTTCGGACTCATTGAATCGCTTATAGAAAGTAAGTTGCATCCATCAATATGTAATATGCTTTCCGACTATCACTGACAGTATAACTAAATACCAATGATAACTATTATTAGTATATTGGAAATTATACACGGTGTTCTGCTTTCAAAACGTTTAAAACTAGCTCACAATAATTAAGTCTTCTACAAAATCTCCTTAGCTAGGGTATGAATGTGCAATCAATTTTATATCGTTGCAAAACCAGTAGTGAGGTTAGACTGATTTCCGAATTTCCCCATTTACTGAAATTTCTACCAAAAACATCGTACTATACGGACGATGTCTTCTTACGGTGCAATAATAAATAAGCTACTCATATCACAACCAGTAAGTATATGGTTTCCCGGTTAAAGTTTAGGCTGCTTTTATAAGAAGAACGTATGTGCACTTACTCTTTGTGGTAATATATGAAGTTTATGCATCTGGTTAGCTGCATAAATACCAGTGGTAGTGTCCACTTGAGGGCAGTATAGACCAACGTTTTTTTAGTGATTTCATCTTGAAACACAAGCCTCGGTACACTTGAACTGTTGTACACATGACTTCCCAGTGGTTTCGATTTTACTACCAAATTTTCCGAATGAAACTGAATGGAAGGCTCAGAAACAAAATCAGTCCTCCAAGTATAAGGAACAGTGGTATTCTATTTGCATCTCTTGGCTTTTGACTCAAGTTGAAATACTAGAAATCACAAAACTTAGCATTTGACTCTGATTCGACGTTTGCCGCATTCCCACTACGGCTTTATTCCGTCTTATGAGTAGACAGGAGTAAGTACATCGACAGGAATAAAATATTACTTATCTCCCTTTTTGAATTGCAATCGTTAATATTCTTTTATTTTCGTTTACTAAATTCATCTCACTTTGGCTGATCATCTCTTGCTTCCGTATTGTATCAAGCGTTATTTTTGTATTGAAGTAATGAATTGGGTTTTTTTCATCTGCCCTATGAAGATGATTATGAAATTCTTTGAAGACCGTATAAAATTATATTTATATTTTATGCCAATAATGAGAGGAAGCTAATTAGCCACAAACTTATTCAAATTATAGGTTTTCCGTATGATCTAAGCGTACTTCGTTTCTATACAAGTTTGCTTGTTCCTTCAAGCAGTACTAAAATTAAATCTGGATCTATCGACCTAGTTAATCATGTCAAAGAATTTATAAGTCGTGTTCCATACCTCGCTGAACCACTGACTGAATCATTATTAAAAAACTTGTCTCCACGAAATGCGTCATTATACCCACAGCTTACCAGTAATATCGAGAAGAAATTATACATGCAGGTTGTTTTAAATAAACCACGAACGGTCATGACTGTCAATTCAAAAATAACCTCATCATCTACCAGTTTACCTGAGAGGAATAATATCTTCTCAGGAGTCTACCTGGTATCAGGGACACAAGGTTATGTTGATCAAGGTGAGTCTAAAATAATTTTTTTAACTCCATAATTCCTTTGCAAAAATATGTTTTTTAAATTAACCTTTTACCATCAAATATTTATGATTTCAGTAAACATAATACACCCATTGAGACAAAATAGGGAAGGTTGGTTCAGAGAAGATTTCTCTTTTCGGCAAATTCATTTTCACAGTTGTACAATCGCAAATATATATACTTATTTTTCAGGATGATAATAATTACAATAATACCGATAACGAACTTCTTTTAAATATGGTAACAGGGAGGTCGAATAAACAAATGTATTTAAAAAATATTTTCCTAGTCAGGGAAACTAATAATAGTATTATTGTTAAAGGCTCAAATATTCATCATCAAGATAAATAGGGAAATTATAATTGGGAACGGATGGCTCAGCATGATAAGATAAAATGCTGAGATCGCGATGAAATGTAATCAGGAGGATTATAGAAACAGAAATAAACCAGTTGGGGGTAGAAGTTCTGTGGAGAAGATGGAAGGGGAAGCAGATGGCTGTAAAGGAAAAAAATATGAAAAAGAAAGAAAATTATGAGACATCAAGACGATGGTAGAAGAAGAGGTTGTACCACTTTCTTTTGGACATACAATTCTAGTTTTCCCAAATGTATAGTTATTGCTTCGTCAGTATCAAGAAGATACAATATAATTGTCTTCGGCAGCTTCTACTGACCTTGCAGATGACTTTGAACACCAAGTCCATTCTGATTGAGTGTCCTGTGTTCAAAAGGTGTTCGATTATTGAGCTTCTTATTGAGCCGTTTCCGCCTCTCTTTAGCCACTCCGGGTCATGTTCTTGAATTCTTTTGTATAAAGTACGCATCGATTGATCTATATACCTAGCTCCATATGAGCAGGTAAATTGGTACCTCACTGTTACCATATTTAAAAGAAGTTCGTTATCGGTATTATTGTAATTATTATCATCCTGAAAAATAAGTATATATATTTGCGATTGTACAACTGTGAAAATGAATTTGCCGGAAAGAGAAATCTTTTCTGAACCAACCTTTCTTATTTATGATTTGGACTGCAGTTCTTTCAAAATATATCGTTATACTACTGTAGATCTGCGATTCTTCAGTATAAGTTGGATCGATAACCCACAGCGAAACCATCTTGTCTGACATCCAAGATTCCATGGTTATTCGGTGTACAGTTGGTACTTAAAATGGAGGGGTCCGTAAATACTGGAAATGTTTCAGATATGCTTGAAGATATACCGACGAAATTTTTACTCTTTATGATGTGTTTGAACACAGGTATATTTACGGACTTGGAAACGCACTCATATTCCTTGGTCCAAAACAACATTTTACGTTACTAGTTATTTGTTAATTACGTAACTGCTGGACTGTAGTTTTGAATTTCTCAAATGACAAAAGATGTATATTGGGAATAACTTTTCCACCTCTTGAATGAAAAACATATTACTTCGAAATTGTTTTGTTTCAACTCGTAGTATAACCCAAAAAGATTAAGTAATCATGTTCTCTTCGGTTTCTGCCTGACGAAATCTGATCACAGATGCGGAAACTCTGTGTGCGTCTTGTTACTTCGTACTACTTATATTGTTAATGAAATGTCCATTTTGTATAATATTAGGTAAAACTACTGCTCAGAATTATATTTCGGTTTAATTCAAATTCTACAGAACTTAACCATTAAAAGTAGAAAATATGCTGAAGTTGAAAGTATTTAATCGCTTAATTCTTTCAGATATTACTAGCCTATATTGGGACATTTGGGTGGTATCATGTGTTTCGAGTAGTAGAATATTGATGGCAAATTAGTTGTCGGGATAACCTCATACCTTATTTTTATTATACTTCTTTACATTTAGCGATACTAATGGTTGGTGTTCGCAGCCACTTTTTATGTACCCTTTAAGTCGTAGTGTTTTCAGCTAACCTTTCCTGTGAATTCGCATAAAAATTATTTTTAGCATGATGCGAAAATATGCTTCCGTGTAAGTAATAAATCTTATACAGCTTTAATACAACTGAATTGTTAGATCGCTCCCATTTACTCCTAAGTTGCGAATGTACTGTTCCCACCTTTTCATATTCACATCCAACTGTATACTTTATAAATTCATTGTATTTCATGATGCCTGTATCTGATTTGTAAACAGCTTCTAACTTTTTTTTCTTCCAATTCATGAATAGATTTAGGTCTTGTTGTATGGCGTATTGAATATTCTTTGTGGCACGTAATTGGCAATGAGATTTATTTAGCTGAATTGGCACTTAACGATTTTCATAAATCTATTGCTTCATCTAAGGATAAATATGAAGCTCGTGTAATATTAAATACTACGTCATATGATTCTGATTTACTTCAAACTCAAGCTGAATTTTATGCTCAATTTTATACTAGGTTAACACGATTGTTGGATCTCCTTGAGTTTATATCCGCTTGTTTCAAGGTAATTATTACTAATAATTGTGATATATGATTGATTTTATAAAGCGGAATAACTAAACATCCACATGCATTCTACGCATTGCAGGCTAATTAATTGAGGTTTCTCGATAACTTTATATTCATGTAGATCGGTATGAGTCAGACACTTATGTAAAACGATTATTTATCGAATGAATTTATTTATTTATCGACTGCTTCATATATGTATATTCACTCATTGCTTTATTTATAACCAAATACAAAACCATGATACCAAGTGAATCTATTTCATCCCAGTACAGATTCGTTGGCATTACCCACCCCACGACCGGCTGGGCATGGAATACGAAAAGTTCAGATCTAGCTCCAAGTGTTCTGTGCTTAGACCGTTAAGTTGGCTTCTTGTGGTTCATATTTTCAACTAGTCACTTCAATACTTATATATTTATATTTAGCGAGATTTTTAATATTGATTTATGTAAAACTAGAGTAAATAAATTATTATTTTGTATGCTTCTGTGATGTAATTAGTAAAATCTGTTCAGTTTTTTTGCTATGCCATTAAAAAATGAGGGTTTTCGACTTGATAAGGAAAATTAGTACTCTTAACAAGGTAATAGATGTATATCACACAACACAGTTTCTGTTTGAGATTTCGATTTTAGTGGTTCCAGAACATTTAGTAACTCTAAAATCAAAGTATCATTGCAGTTCAAAATAGTATCTATTATAGAGATTCTAATCGCGTTTAGAAGAATAAAATATTACGTGGCTGAAACACTTTGTACTTATGTAAATTATCTGGAATTAATTAACCCGAACAATTTATTTATTTATCTGTTTATTTATTTGAACGCAATTATTGTTACAAAGGAGCACTGAATTCGTATGCGCCACACAAGTCACTTGATTTGTGTGTGGGCTGTGATAGTGCTCGAGTTCCCAAACCAAAGCAGGTGGTTTTCTTAGTGGGCCACTCCCAGAGCCTTCGACCTAATGGTCTGATCCACAAGGCAGTGGAACAAAGTAAGGAGATGCAGTCTCATGGTAGCCGGTGACCAATAATTGGTTCATACGCTATTTGTTCCCTCATGATCCTGGAGCCCATGTGCACCATAACTTAACAATCGCTTTGTTGTTAATACGTTCGGTTTTCAGCTAGTTGATCAAAGGTTCAAAACTTTTTCCCATCTACTTCAGTTTGAACATTTGGATAGTATCACTAATTCTAATGAAGTTTAACTCAAAGCAGATTACGTATTGACTGCACTTATGGAGTTATATAATACTCGAAAATTCCCATTGTTTTGGTTCTTACCCTGTTTTTCTTTTCTTTTCCAGTGTGATTTGTATATTTCTCAATGTTTAATATCAATTGAATATATTTGGATGATAATTTTACGTTATTTAAATATTATACCATCTGACCAAGTCAATTTAATTGTTCAATATATCACTAATAACATATCATCATCGTCATTCATTAAAATACATCGAAATTTTTATGGAAAAATTAAATCTTCAAATGAAATAATAACAAATCGTAATTCAATTGATGAATTAATTATTCATTCATTATTACCTAATTTATTGTGTTTAATTGGACATTCGTTATTAAATTTACCTACATTAAGATCAAAGCAGTTAATTATGGAAAATATTAATCTATTGACTAGTGTATTAAATAATAGTCATAGTATTATACCACGTATGGTTATTAATCAGAATAGTCAAAACTCACAGTAAGTTATATTAACTTGTGTTCAATATTACTTGAGTTCTAGTTTATTTTAATGTTTAAAACTTGATTTTAATAACTTGATTATTCTACTAATTGAAGTTGGTAAATAGTAGTAGTCAGACTAACAAATATATTTATTTCAGTTTCATCATACTATGAATGTTTACACTGAATTCATATGACTGATCGCTATTCTTTATCATATAATCTGGATTGGTTAAATGACTCTATAATGAAGTCACTATTAGTTTATGAGGTCCAAACAAATTTTGTCCCACCTACTTTGTTTATAGAATAGCTGAACTGCACCATTAATATCTATTCTGAAATGTATGCATGAAGGAAAGCGTTTGAATATAGAAGTTACTGTGTTTTCCTGATAAGTCAACTTTTAGAAGTTGAATGGAGATTTAATCCATTGACTCATTTGTTGAAAGTTTGGCAGTTGTAACTTGACACTGGTTAAAATGTTCACTGAAAGTTAAGTGTGTTAATTGAAAATACTATGTATTTTTAAAATATGTAATTTCTACTATTAAGATTACTGAATGATGTCCATTTACCATACATAGTATGTATAAATATAAGTTTTAAATGATTGTGAGTCAATCAATCAGTAAACAAAGTGGAATTTTTCGCGAGTATCTATTAATCCAATCGATTCTAATGCCACATCACCACAATGATAGTACATATTAATAAGTCGAAAAATAATGGAGTAGATATAACAGTAATGTTAATTGTAGTTAGCCAAAACTTAATATATAGGATATATTTCCATAAGGACCTGTGAATTAAAGGATATTAGGAAAATATATTAATACATTTGTACCACTGCGACCGATTTCTCTCATTATATCAGTATTTAATAATCAATGTTTATTTTTATCATAACTAGTTTTGATTACGTTATTTATTAAATCCAATGTAGAACGCAGAATCGTACTCAATGATTTAAAGCTTACATCGTTATTCGATTTTGAGACATTTAAATGGTGTACTTAGTTTAAGTTCAAGTATACGGTTAACATTACGGATCAGTGTTTGTATAAACTAGCTCTAACTCATAAACCTTAACCATAATAACTCTGACGGTTAAGAACCCATAGAAATTTTGATGGTTTTTTTCTCTGAGCTGGATGGTTTAGTCGTGGAGCTTTCATCTTTCTTCTAGACGACATCATCAGCACAAACTTCAGAGAACAAAACTCCATCAAAATCATCCACCTGAGCTACAAATCACCATTTCAAAACCTATAGGAAGCTTAGTAAAGCTAACTATTCATGTAAAAATAACATATTCTTTGTAAATTCTCCGATTTCATATTTTAATTCATATATTCATATTTACTGTTTTCTGACTATCTCAAATGGTTCAAAGTCTTAAAATCATTCTGAAATATAGTTTACCTTTACTATATTCCTATTAAGTAATTAGATATAAGTAATAAAAATTACAGATTCACAGAAATGTATATATATATATTACTTATTCTGATTAGCGTTGTTTAGCAAGGTCGTTTTCTACGGGATGAGGATGCTAAGTCTCTCAATCTTCCTCTTTTACCCGAGCTTGGGATCGACAATGGCCCTAAAAGAGTTACAAGCGGAGTTCACTTATCAAATATCATAAATATTACTCAAATTACAAATATTCATACAAATTATAACTTTATAAAAATGAATTATTTATTTACTTTATTGTTGTTATTATTCCTTCTTTTGTTTTTAATTACAGACTAACATTTGGACTTAATTCTTGTTATTTAATTAACACTATTCTTAATTATAATTCATCGGAACCAATTAATTTTTTAAATTTTCACCAAGTAACATCATTACATCATTATTCAACAAATGAATATCAATTACTTATTTCATATATTAATTTTATATCTGGATTATTTTTCTTTATTCGATGGGCATATTCTAATTCAGAATTTATTATTGAAAATATTCATATTGATATTATACCATTATATATTGAATGTTCTGAATTAATTCATGGATGTCTTGTATTTATTATTCAATATCTTATGATAATGTGCTCACAAGTAGATTATTGTAATGAAAATTTCAATATTCATTCTATTAATAATGGGTTAATTCAAAAAAATCTTTTATTAAAAGTAGATTTTGATCAATTAGCTAATTTAGGTAAGTTTCAAATTCTGATATATATATATTCTTATTAATAAACAAAAAATAAAATAATTTTAATGGAGTTTTATTCTTTGAGCTAGATGGTTTGGTCGTAAAGTTTTCATCGTTCTTCTGAACGACATCAGCATCTTCTCAAAAATAAGATAGTAATCAATACTTTATTATTATATACAATATTTATGATTATATTGAAAATTTTCATACTGTGTTATGTACCATTTTAATATGATTTTATTGGTATTGTATTTTTTATTTATCATGGGGTAATTAAACATCAACAAATATTCAATTCATTCTATATTCGGTCTTGATAATATTGAAATTGAATTTAGTTTGATAATTATTTATTAATAGTTGAATTCATAAGTCTATGTAAGCTAGACCACCATTGAAATTCAAGAGTCAATTAGTGTTGTTGACCTCTCGTTTATAGTAACAATGTATCTACTAGTTATTTTTTGCTCAAAAACACATATCGATTTCTGTTGATGCAAACTACCCAACTATCAAGTTTTTGGTAAAGCGTTAAAGATCCCTGAAAATGACTTTTTAGGTGGATAGTAAAGGATTGAAAACACTTCCTGGATATCATGATTACATGACCTTAGTGAATTGGAAAGCTCATGACCTACAAAACTAATTTGTGCCATCGCACATGGTATGTAATAATGCTTATTTCTATGTTAATATTCCGTACATAAGCATGTTATTTTATTCAAAAAAATATTGGTTCTACCAGCCGTTATCTGTCTTGCCTTCTTATATCTTATATCAATTAAGTCCACAAGACAGTGGGGGAGTGTCAGTAGGTGCATCCCTATGATAGCTTGTGGCCAAAACTGAGTTTATACGTTTCTCATCCTCTCATGATCGTTGAGCCCATGTACACCACTGATTTTCAATAAGAGTTTTTCCACACACCCCTGAGTGAACCCCGTGTATAAACCATCCTTGTTTAAGCGCCTTACATTCGGCTTTATTAAGCAAAGAACCTTTTCCATCTCTTACAAAAGTTGCATTTTGATCTGTGATCTGTTTTATTACCCCAACACTTGATGAACTCTGTTCAATAATTCAAAATCTAATCAGTTGTTTGTCAATTCTAAGAACGGTGATATACAGAAGCAAATACTGTAAAAGTTTTTCTTCTTTGTTCATATATTGATGAACAATAAGCCTAAATGGCGTGTCAAGAATAAACTTGATATATAAGTTAAAGCAACATTATCTGAATATATATCTGTATATTGTTGTATCTGGGGATTAAATTATGGGTAACTTCTGGGAACTATTTATGGATTGTTATTATATATGTATTCTATTAAGTAACTAGATCATATATATTTATATTCCTTTATCATACGCTTTTATTTGACTTATTGACTACTATTATACGATTTACTATTTCCAAGTTATTCCCAATCTATTAGTTACAGTCTCTCACAGTCACATCCACTTTTTGGCTTGATCTTGTATGATAGTTATTTTTTATTTTATGGTATAATGGGGTTTAGTTTGCTTGTATATAAACAAAGTATGTCTGGAATATATGATTCATCTAGGGGAAGCTGATATTGATGTTCTGGCCTCGACAGTCAGGGCTAAACGAGAGGGACCTATAAAGACTGCTCGTACCGGTCCACACATAATCGGTTTGATACTGTGCTAATATTGTGTAAGTCGTGTTCTAATTGGCGACTTAACCACGTGATAATTAACCAGGCCACAAGACATAACATATATAACTTTGAATAAAATGTTCGATTTTTGAAAAGACTAGCTGTTATATGTTACGTCTGAGGAGAATACGATATCACTAAATACCAGCGAACGGAGCAAAAGTCAGCAACACAAGAACAGGACAAGCTAAACTATTCCACTGTGCACCAACCCTGCTAACTACTAGAAGGAGAAGACCAGATTCAGTCGAGGAAAATATACATTCCACAAGCAGCCCAAATGCACGAACGAACAAGCACATAACTCATGCGTATATATACAGTACAAAAATGTCCTTGGAAATCGTCACAAATTAACGTATTGAAAGAGGGAACGAACCAATAACATTTAAGGTCCTTCCAAGTGGGAAATACAAACTAGGTAAAAGTAGGTGCTTTTGGTGCGAAAATGACAAATTCGAATTTCCAAAGTCAAATCACAAAAATGAGACTTTTATCAAGTGATTTCTGGGGATCTAGAATCCCCAACATATGTCAAAGTACTAAATTCCTACTTTTTTTAAACATTTCTCTAACCAAATTATAAATTACTTAAACAATTTTTATTTTTATTTTTAATTAGCCGAACATTGTTTCATGTTATTAACCGATGTATTAACAACTCGTACATCGGAACAAGATATACAAATTTTACGAATGATTTTAAAACAACTTAAACAAGAATCTTCATCATCTTCAACATCATTGTTTCATTTATTTCCTAAATTCATATCTGAAGAAAATCATTGGCCTATAACTTATCAATGTATCACATTACATTTATTACTCAATGATACACGTTCATTAAATGCTTTAATAGCATTCTCATCAATTCACCAAAGTATTTTATTGAGACAAACAGAAACCATTGAATACGGGTAAGTGTTTATTTTAAAAAGTGTTCTTTTAGTTAGCTCATTCACTAAGTACTTGGATATAAGCTGCTCTCTTAATGTAAAGGCTAGGTATACTACTCGGTTGCTAAATGAAGGTATATAGAACGGGGTTTTGTACGTGGGACTTAATAGCTAAAATTTGAACCCTATTAACACTGAACCATCAATAGAAATGAGTTGTTTTTAGAAATACAAATTTCCTGTTACACTATAATAATGATTGGTTTTTATATTCCTTAATAACTGCACAAAAAAAATTCTATTTAAAATCAAATATAACCATTAACTCCGTTTACTATGATTTCGTAGTGTATGGTTCTCCACTAATTCCCAATTGTGCTTATTGTAAAAGTTGTTTCTTAGGTTTGATCAAGATGATACATGTTCGAGGTTGTTAAAGTGAAAAAAACAAAATGCATACGGATAGACGAAGTGGAGTGATGTAACGTGAGTGAATGATCATACTCCTTACATGGTCAAATTATTGGCATAAGCTATTAAACGAACTGATATCAATAGACATAACTACCCAGCAAAATAAGTCTTTTTAGATCAATATAACATTGTTAGATGTCATATGGTACTGTATTATATTATTGTTTGTGGTTTAGTCATTCGCTTGATTATTAGGTTTTTTACCCGTTGTATCAGTAATTGTAGTTATCACAAATTTAATAATAACTAGAATTACTGATACAATGAGTAAGTTCAAGGCTAGCTGTCAACTCACCACAATGTATATATGAGTACTGGTTGCATTTACAAAACGTCATGAAAATAGTTTGTATCAGTAATGCAAAATAATGAAGTCAGTGTTCAGTACCAACATGATTTTATTTACTGTTGCCAGACAAAGAGAACAATATAGAATGTGATATAGATATTTCTCTATACAAAGTTACATTTCGTTACTAGAAAGAGGGAATATTAACTAAAACAAAGATGAAAGGATCAAAGAAATACGTGAAAATAGGGAGTTAAAAGGACGAAATAATCTTATGTTTATTTTCTTACGCTACTTTGACAGTGGATCGCTGACTTAGTTGAATAAATTTATTGTTAGAATCTACAAATCTTTTAGTCTAACTGAAAATCGCTCACTCAATAATATCCTATTCGAAGACAGTTTTCTGAAACTAATGTACGGTAAAAATTTTGAAGATTAGCAATGCGCTTTACATTATCCGCAATACCAAATACAAAGGATAATTGTATGTGAAGCGTAAGTGTATCTAAGTTAAAATCATCGACAGGAGATTTAACCCTAGCGATCCAAAGCTGACACACTGGAAAGTTTAAAGTTTTTGTGTTTTGTCCGTGAAAGAAGCCTTCATACTCTAACAACGCTAAACTTTATAGAAGTTAAACAGAATACTTCTCTCGTATATACTACTTTACTCACAATCTTTTATCTTTCTAAATTTTACAAACATTTACAGTTTAATAACACGAAGCGTTCACCATGCTGAACTTATCACCATTTATGTGGGTATATTTTTTGATTCACAATATAAAATTCAGAGATTGTATTTGTACAGTCTCATTCAAATGTAAGTAATTTCGGTAAAACACTTCTACAGAACAATCAAGAAATACATTTTCTTAGACTAGATTTTTAGCTTCAGGCAATGGGTTTATCGGTCTGTCTTAACCTAATTCAATATAATATCCTGTCATTCTTATACTCGAGTATTAAAGGTTCTCTGTTGATTCATTGTTCTACTCAAGGGATTTGTGAAGTCAGTTTATTTGATGAAGGATATATAAATGCATATTTATGACTAACAAAATTTTCTGACGAAGTTTTTTGTCATAGTCCTTTAGAATAACGTAACATCGAAAATACATGATAATATTTTAATGATAAGGATCAAAATAATTTTGCAAGATTTCTAAACACTGAATATAGTCCGGTAAGACACTGAAAAGAAATGTGAAGGAATAATGGAACTCAACATGTAAAATAAAAGAAGAGATTCGATGCATCATAGCAGTTTTAACCGATTCTGATTCATGTCATCAAACATTTATGATCCCAACTAGGTCGTACGCCTTAATGACATGGCTCAGTCTAACAATCAGTGACTTCATGAACTGATCCCACGCTTTAGTTTAACTTCTTTTCGCTTCCAGTTTACTAATGCACCAGCTATTATTATCCGTCAAAGTTGATGCGGTTAGGTTTATACAACATATGATGAATGAGAACTTGTTCTGGAATATCTTTTAAAAGTTAATAAAAGTTTGAAAGCTTTGAAATTTAAATCTCGCTGTATGCATATTAACATACATGTACCAAGAATATATACTTTTAGATTATACGTTAAAATCTCATTTTACATTTCAAAATGTCACAGTAAATATTTTCTGTATACTAAATATTTTCAATAAACCTATTGCATTGGTATTTTATTGTTGCTTCCAATTACATAAATACTTGTGGTTAATTTTTCTTTTTGCTATAATTTAAACGAATTTACATTAGAAAACTTTTTTTGTTACTATTCTAGTTTCCCTATGTCAGTCTACTTGAATAATTGTGATATTTCAAGGAAAACAATTCTAGTGGATAATAGTAGTTCACCAACTGTAAGAGCTGTTTGGTTATCGCTTACATTAGTTCATCATTTACTTAACTTAGAAAATAAATTAATGATTGAACCAGACAATTCGAATTCAACACCTCCTCTATTGACCAGTTTGCAGTGTTATTCTAATTCATTCACTGGGGATCATTACATCACCACCTTATTCTCTTATCTTCGGTATTCGTTTAGTGTTGGAATTTCTCGTTTGGTTGTTGCATTACTAAAGTGGATAACACAGGTTAGTTATAAATGCTTAATGTATTGTTAATTCATATTTGATTCAGCTTCGATATTTTCGCTTTATTTTATCACTATCATTAACTGTACTAATGATTCAACTCACTTTCTTATACTATTACATAGTATTCATCTGTTGATATTACAAATTATTTGGGCAATGAGTCAAATCAAATACGTACATCTTCCCTGAAGAGATTAGTGTCCACTACAGAAGATCAATTGGTACGTGTTGGATTGTATGATTTATTATCAGAGACAGTATTAAATAGTGAAAAATACGGACTTATTAGTTCACGATTGCCAGTTGGGCTATTACGTTTACTTTTAACAGATGGAACTATTATAGGTTCAGATATGGAGTTGAATAGAACGATGGCTACTAAATCCAAAGAAATTTCAAATTCTGATTGTTTGGATTGTGTAATAGATACACTTAAGGAACTTCAGGTATAATTGTATTTTATTTGACTGGTTTTTTCGTAAATGTTCAGTAATCATTATTTTTTTATAGTTGCACTATGCTGTGTATCACGTGTTATTTGAATGATTAATACACAGCAGTTGAAAACTCTAAAATTTACACATTTGAAATAATTTAATAAATATGTTATTCTAGATTTATATTAGTAAATCTACCGAATTAGTTATTTTGTGAATTACGAAACTGTCTGCTAACTTATAAGGATTGTTGATGTCTGTTGGATCAGTAGGATCTTTGATGATTCCAGGCAACAGAGAAATGCAATGTATTCTCATACTTCGACTGTTTCCGATTTTCCTGACAACATCATCTCTCTGTTCCTTTGAAGATCGTGCACATACCTATCAGAATGGCGATAAATGTCATAAGAAAGGGAGAGGTATTTGAGTGCGTGTCATTGCGTGTGATGGCATTATGTAGATTATTTATGGAGCTTTTTCATCTGTGGTGATTCACATTTTTAAAATCTGTTTGGAATGTGATACAATACTTCATTTCGATCAACTTTATGCTTGTACTCAGATTGCACATTATGAACAAAAAGCCAAAAGCTTTGGTTCAACCAAGATATGCAACCTAGTACTGTTTAGAACGTTTTGTTGTACCTATTAAACTACTTGCGAGTAGCCAATACGTTTCGATAAATTAAAACCCACTTTCGTATTTGCTCATGATGTCTTCTGCCAGTTTTTTCTTAAACATTTTTGTTTAATTTTATCGTTAAATTTACGTAAGTTCACTCTATAATCTCACTGGTATCCTATTACTAGCTGTCGAATAAAATTGCTCTCTTTATGCACAGAATCGCATATTAAAATGTGAGTTCAATTTCTGTCATTAGAAAACGGGATAATATTCAAAACAAAAAATATTCTTAGCGTATTGAATTCCACATCTCCATTTCTCCTCAGTCTCATGTAGATAGTTTATCTACACAGAAATTTCAGCACAATACTATTGTATAGCTGTTTGTATGCTGTACATATACATTACAGGGTTTGTAAAATACTATGTTTAATTGGTTTTCTAGACTATTTTAATCTACTCTCTGGTTACTCACTTAAGAAAATTGTTGCTTATCATTCGGAGTGAATTATAGATCCCAAATTATTAAATGTTACTTATTATGAATATATTATAATAACCTTATATATGTTGTTCTAACTTGAATTATGTACTGAGCTAATCGTGAGCCTATTACGCAACGACTCATATTTGATTAGAGATTCTTATAGTTTGTTTAATTCTTAGAGTCTGCACGTATTTATTCTCTAAAGATGTCATATAAAATCAACCAATTTTTAAGAGATGTATTCAAAAGATGCCTTGATTTACTTACATTTCAGCTGCAGGCTATAATTAAAAATAATGTTCACCAAATTACTTAATTCAAAATTTAAACTCCTAAGAAAATATCTCGCTTCAAGATAGTTTTTGATAAGAAGACATGAAAGTTGCTTTGAATTAAAAAATCCTTGTCATCACTCAGTTTAGCTACCTTACAAAGATCTTTAGAAACTAGCGAAAGGAATTCCTAATGGCTACCACTAAGGACTTTTTATTGTGTACACAAAAAGAACTTTAGAAAGGACTTTTGTTAAACAGCTTATCAACCCATTAATAATAAAAGCTTAAGGATAACTAGAATACGTTATGTAAATCTCTATACTTAAAATGTATAAACTTTAATTTTATTCTTCTTTTCCTTACTAGATTAAATCTTTCCAGAAACAGTTTGACGATAATGAAAATACTAATAATAATCAGTTATCAACTGTGTTGTTTTGGAGTGTGACGAAATTTATCTCATCTCTTTATCTCCTAAATATTCAACCATGCATTGTAAATTTAAAACAAAGGTAGGTTCAAGAGGACTTTGTATTATTTGTCACTTTTTAATTAGTTCAACCAAATAAAAATGTACTGTTTCATCATTTGAAGTCTATACTTAAAGATTTATAACTTTTCATTTGTGGGTTGTGATACAAACAATTGCTTCTTAACTGTTGACTTTTGGGTTCGCGTTTTACTTTTACATGGAGTTGTGCATTTGATTAGTATCACTGGGTTACATATAAAATGTATGTCCCAGAGTTAAGTACATAAACCTGAGGACTATGTCGGGGATTTTGAAAGAAAAGCCTTTGATCTATATAATTGTAGTAAATCCCAACCTACATGGAGTTTGAATTTTTGTAATCTATTACTTAGCGATACATTTATAACTTTACATTAATATATTCATTACATCATTGTTAGCCGTCATTTGTTGTTGTTACTGTAAATGATTGTTTATGTATAACCTAGTTCGTTATATTGTATTTTCTTTCCTAGGGAATACTGGATTCACATCCATTCTCTTGTTATTCTTGAATTACTTTTTATTTATCCCTTTCGAGTGATTGTAGAGTATACTAAAAAAATGCAATAAAAAGAACTCCTAACTTCATTTTAAAAAATTAACAGTCATGTGCATATATTTTCCTCAATTTTAATCAGTTTTCTGTGTTCTTGATTCTTTTTCAGGTGTGACTTTTGGAAAACTCTGACTGATCCTTTCTTCACTTTTTTAAGATTACAAGAATCCGAAAAGGTATGTGATTTAAACAATTGATATATATGTGCTACATATAAGTTACCCGATACAAACTTTTCACTGGGTTGTTCCGGCTTATTGTTTTTCAAGCAAACGTTTTTGTTATTAGTAGATTGGATATTTGTATCCCAACAGTGAGATCTATTGAAGTACGTTCATAAACTTGTCATTCATGTTTTTAGATGCAAGCATTGGTAAAGCAGGATTGGGCATGGGGTAAGCATCCTCGTCCCGTAGAAAACAATTTTCCTAGAAGAACTAGAATAAACTATTTATACCATTAAACTCTGCCCTGCGAGTTGAAAGATCATTTTTCAGAAAAATTAGGTTGCCTCGTGGTGAAAGCCAAGATTTGGAAGCACGAGGCTGATTACTCGTATAACAATCAGAGAAACAATTATTATAGCCTCATGGAATATCTGGACAATGTGGTAGATCGGTAGGACCGATCAAATTGCTGCACAAACGAGGAGATACAAGTTGGTGACTTTCAGAATTAGTGAAACACATTGGAACCAAGCTGGACAGAAAAGGTTAGATTTGCGAGGAGTGCTGCTGTACTCGCGTTACGAAGAAGAAAGTGCTCCGCACACTCAGGGAGTTGTTCTGATGCAGTTCAAACAAGCACTTGTTGGTGAAGCTCTGAAAGGTGTAGAACTTTCACGTAGCTGGACAGCATCATCGATGAATAAGGAGGACCTGATGCAAATGTAATGACGAAGATTGGCCAATTAAGGACAGCATTCCTACAGTTGAAGAATATATGGAACTCAAAACAACTGTCAACCAATATCAAAGTCAGAATCTTCAGTACGAATGTCAAGATAGTTCTACTATACAGAGTTGAAACTGGGAGAACTACTACAACCATAATCAAAAAGGTACAAGTATTCACGAAGAATTGTCTACATAATATATTTAATTTTCTTTGATCGGATACCATCAACAACAGCATACTGTGTGGGAGAACAAATCAGCTTCCAACTGAGGAAGAAATTAGGGAAAGACGCTGTAGGTTTATATAATATACATTACAGAGGTCATCTGACTGCACAAGGCAAGCTCTAACTTGTAATCTCGAAGGCAAATGAAAAGGAGGCAGAAGTAAGAACACACTGCTTTGGGGATTGAGGGCGAACATCAAATGAATAAATAGCGACTGGAAACAACTACGCACAGTGAGTCACACTCGTGACCATAATGCATATTGATCATTAGTATTCAATCAGATGTAAAGTCACACACTAACATGATTTTAGTCGCTACTTAATTGTAAATATCTCAGTCTTAAAGCAGCTCTGTCGCGACCTGAATAGCTCGGTGGACACATCTCAATCTGTAAGACTAGGTGACCTGGCAGCCTAAGTTTGTTCAAGATTTTAGGTACGTCTTGGTGACAAGTGTCAATCAGTAAAAAACCAAGATCCAAGTTTTTCTGTTTAATGACTAATAGTTCTGCTGCCGTATTCACGTTTTGAATCCCTCAGTTGAATATCAGTTACGTGGTTTGTAAAGTTTGATTTTTTTTCGAATATATTTGAAGAATTCTCTGGGGATTCTGTGTGAACTGTTATACATATTTATTTGTTCTTAATGGTTTTCATGAACGTCCTATTTGTATAGGAACCATTATCAGATATTGAAAATGAACTCTGTGGAGATGTTGTCAGTATTTTAGCGTTAGAACTCTACAATAAGACAAGGTTAGTTGAGTGTGTATAAAATTTTACTTAATCTAGATTCTCTGTAGGTGTATTTGTGTAGGTCTCATATATATAGTTTTTTAGTTGCATACGTAAATACATGAGAACCTAACGAAATAAAGTGAATTCATATCATTCTGCACCAATCTTCGTTCTCGCTCTCTTTAAGATAATAAAGGGAACTATTTATATGGAACTTACGTAGTTGTTTTGATCTATAAAGTTATTATTATAACTTGTAATATTTGGATTGTTTTTAGAAGTGGAATTGACGAAGCGCGTTTCGTCTCATTTTAGTAGGTAATGCATGAGTGTATGAATCGCTAGATAACTGGTTAGAGTCTCAGTGTGAATATCAACATTGAGATGCGTGCTCACAGGTTCAATGAGCCGCAGTAGAGACGAAAGTCGCGTCGTAGACAATATTGTCAATTTAAGCAGAATTTATCAAAACTATCTACTCAGGGTTCACATATGGCAACAAAGACTGATTAAACCATTTCTAACTATCACTAATGGATAAAGTTATTTCCTGTTGTTTCAATGACCTTATTTCGCATTAACTATGTCAAGTTTACCAGCTTCTCATACCTATGACTGTCCACACTGTTTCTAATCTACAGTTCAGTACACTGGTATATCAACGACCGTTGACTTTCTAATGGAATAATAAATAAATATCTGAATTAGGATCCTCACCTGTTGTGTATACTTTAATTTTCATGTTTTGTTTAAACGTGTTTTATTGTATATGTAATTAAAACAGCTTTCTTTGTTATATTTAGTGAGAAATTTATTATTTCTGACTGTCTATAAACATAACGCCATACACCAATGTTCATTATTAAAGTCCCACAGGAGTTTAGCAACAGTATGTTGTTAAATTACTTAAATATGCCTTCAGACAAAGTTACTCAAACTTTTTATTCTTGTAATATATAAATAAATTCAATCTGTGCATATCTGCAAAATAAATAAGAGGAATTGGGTTTTTTACATTAAATTCTAATCACTCACATGCAGTCCGATTGTACAAAGACGTCTCTTTGTTGGCAATAGAATTTATCGTCATTGTATTATGTATAATTCAAGGCAGTTGAGATATTGAATGAAATTCCTCTTGGGATGCTACTGTACAATTCCCAACTAGAGATTCTTATAGGCTTTTTAAATCGATGTAAATTTGAAGAAACAATATTCAGTCTGGAATTTCATTGAACCCAACAATAGTGATTGATTTTAATGTAATACTTAAATAGAGTTACAATTAGATAATGTCTAAATAGATTGTACAACGCATACATTTTCAAATTAATTTTTAAGTAGTACTGTTATGAACATTTGTCATTTGTTTTTTCCTATATTTTCGGTTTGTGTTTCAGCTATACAACAAATGATGAGAGTTTTAAATCGTTTACATCAGTTATGGATTATTTTGTGAAGAATAATTTGTATAATTTATGGTTTAAGGTAAATTTATTTTTACTTATTGTGTGACGTTGTCGACTTCCTTTCAGTATATGTACATAGCAAAGTAGCATGTAGTCTTTGAGTTAGATTGATTCCTATTTTTATTCATTTACTAAAGTACATTTTTGCTTCTGAACAAAGTATTCTACCAGTTATATATTGAATTGAGGCCATTTGTATATACCGATTGATCATGTTACTTAACTCCTAACAGCATAACACATTACTGAAGATTGTTTTCTTAAGCTCCCTAAGCTTTATTATAGTTCATGGAGAGTTCTAATGCGAACTGTCCAGTAATCAACAACTGTCTATATCTCTTATCATCGTTTTTATTGAGTTTCGGTATAAATTTCCCGATAAAAATGAGTTTGCTTATCTCTAACTTATCAAGAATATTGTTATGATTTGTGACCCTTGTGTCCTGGTAATATATCACGTGATGCGATCGCCAATTAGTGTCACCGACTTATTGACCGGACCAGTGACGGATAGACCAGTATTAGCAGCATGGTGTCCTTATTGCTCCTTGAGATAACAGCTTCTCGTCTAACCCATGCGATTCAGTTCAGAACGCAAATGACAGCCTCCGTTATATCGAATCATCTATTTCAAACATACTTTATATACAAACAAAATCAGACCACATCACATAAAATAGAAAATAACATTTGTACAAGATCAAGCCAAAACGTGGCTGTGATTGTGAGAAACGGTGACTAATAGACTGAGAATAACTTAGGAATAGTAAATCATATAACAGTAACCAATAAGGTCAAATAAAATCTTATAATAAGAGGAATATATATATATATATATAATCTAGTTTCTTAACAGCTATATAATGAGAATATATGTATAATATTAGTCCACAAATAGTTCTCAGAAGTTACCCATAATTTAATCATCACTAGGATATAACAGATATTTTATCCGAAAACTCTGACAGTATAGTCTTTTCAGGTGAACGTGTTGAGAATTTAAGACTTCAAAACTTGCACACACCAGGATTCACTATGCTAGCAAACAGTGAGGTTTTTAAACTCATTTACTGCTTCGCGCAGCCAGAACGTTGTATAAATTCTGATATATCGGTAATTAACGAAATCACTACCTCTTGGGTATGCTTACATAATGTATTCACCACTTACTGGTCCAAATCATTACTTATTATTACTTATTCAGATATCTGAATTCTACATAAATTACTCGAATACTGTCCACCAGTTTTTTTAGTTTTCACTAATTCATGATTGAAGTTAATTATTTTATGAAGCCCTTGTTCTTATTAAATGATTTGTATTTCGCTCTCTTTTTCTCTCAAAGTTAACTCGTAAATGTTTACATAAAATATTATCGTCCAGTGAATCGGAAGATGTATCTGTAGAATATCTTCAATCTCGGCTAACATCTCTACACAATGTAACATGTCGTTGGAAATGTTTATTATTGTTAAACTACAATGATGACAATGTCGATGATAATAATTTTGATAGTAATGGTAGTAACTCCAATAGAAACCAATTAATGAATTCAAGAAAGCAATCAAAAGATAATTTTACTACAATACCTTTATCGATTTTGAATGATTTAATTGAGTGTTTCAATCTATTGGTATGTATTATGAATTTAGCTTTAAAATAGTGTCTTCTTCTAAATTTCATAGGGATATAATACGTATTCACGGATTTTTTTAGCTCATCTACCACTCAATATTTAATATGTATGCAATATCTAGCATTTTTTCCATTCATTTACTTAATGAAAGCATGGTTTTCACTGAGGGTTTCATTTTTTACTATTCTATTCGACAATTTGAATTTCCTTACAGTAGCCTGTTCATATGTCCCGCTGATATACTAAGTTAATGAAGAAAAATCCTTGATGAAAATGCTAGATCGTGCACTTTTATTGATCATTGAAAAATTATGATTATCCGCATATGTCTACTATATGGATCATTTTAATTGTCCGCTAATTAACAGAAATAGCATTAAAACAACTTTAATTTAAGTTTATCATTTACATCCACCTTCTCTTCATTAATAAATAATTTTTCACACCTCACTTTACACTCCTCCAATAATAATGATAATCTTTAAAAAAATGAGGTAAAGAAAAAAAAACACTGTTGTTTTAATTGTCAACCCATAGACAGCTTGATTTTTAGATAAGTTTGATTTCATTTAATTTTATAAATCGTTTGTTATTATATTGAAAATGAACTTTTACATGGCAATCGGTATTGTTAGAAAATAGAAAGTTGGAGTTTGATGCGTTAGCTGTTTATATTACTGCTCCTCATAAATTAACGTTTTTTTATTTAGTTTTCATGATAGAATTGTGATTGCTCAATTTTCTACACACTGTCGACTATATGTTTTGCTTCTATGCTAATCATGCATTTCGATCATATGACTTACAAATTATGCACCCAGATCCATATAGACAACAGTTTGTATGTAGAAGTTAATATTAAGACACAGTGTTAATCATCCTTGAAACTTCGTCAACGCACGTAATTGTTTTAGCCGATTAGCGATTTTCGTTCATTTTTAGTGAGTTTCATAAATTTTACTAGTTCGAGTGGTCAAACACTCAAATTATTAAACTGAACATGGATTTTATGGTTCAAGACTCATTAAATGATTGGGTGTTTATAGATTTACTAAGAATTCTCCATCAGTAGCATTCGATATCCAAATGTGACAGATGATAATGTCGTTTTATTCTACAAACTTAATTGAGTTTACGGAGTTTGAACTCAATTATCTATAAATCAATCAATCACGGCTTACATGTAGTAAGCTTAAATAAGAAGTATAACAAGCGTTAAGTTGACTTCATTAATACTGTCCAAACAATTCAGTTTCGTAACTCAGCTTATTGACTAGTGGCTTAGCATTGTTCATGTTCTCAGTACTTGTTTAATTTTTTATCTCAGGTCTTCATATGTCTATATCTAACTCATTGTTGTTTGGAATTTTATTCATTACTTATTTATTCATTATTACTTGTCGTACTTACACTATCATATCTATCTGAAATTTCTTTATTCCTAATTAGAAATTTTAATCATTCTATTTAATATTCGATTCCGTAATTCTATTTAATTTATGTACATCATGATTATCTTTCTTATATAATTTGTGTAACTTAATACTTTTATGCTTTTCACGTTTCTTGCTCACTCAGAAATTTAATAACATTAGTATAAAGTGAAAAACAAACAAACCTTGAAAACAATTGCTCTAGTCAGCTTGTGTTTTTTTTAAAAGTTTTAATCTATTGTCGAATCATTAATCTACATGGATTCATCATATTAATATGACAATGGAAATGGTAATATTTTAAAATATGCTGTTCATCACTGAGAACTTGTTGTTGTCGTTGTTGATGATGATGATACATCGATTTTTCTGTTCGCTACGACTTAATTTGACTAATCTGTAGACAAAACTGTGTATTTTATTAAAACACGTCTATTCACTGTCCAATATAAATATTAATGGGTTTCCATTGAAACATCTATCAGGAACAATCATTCAAAGACTCTTTTGATCATTATGAGATAAATTTTTAAAAGTCCAAATAAGTGAATTCAGTTCGGTTGTTTAAATATTCATTAGATAGTAGTACAACCAAATATTTGATGCTTTTTTACATTGTAGAAATCGACATTATACTAATAGTGTAGTAAATTTCAATGGGTGTACATTTGTCGTCACACATATTTCACTTTTGTTCTTCTTCAAGATTTTTTTCTCGCTTTTCATTTTTAGCGTGATCTACCGCCGATTCAGTCAACTTTTGATTTAGGAAATCAATTAGCTACAATACTCAATACAACTTTAGTGTATTTATATAAGTAAGTTCATAATTGTCAAAATATATCATGTCATAGTTATAGTAAAAATAGTTAATGGCAAACTATTTTCTTAAGTTACTAAAAATGTAATCATCTATAACTTATTACCGTTCCGATATTCGAATTCTCCCTCCAACGCTTACTCAATTACTATGTCTATCCCTGTATAATATACTTGATTCCTTATCCTCACGAAATTCTTCCGGTGTACTGCTATCAGTTTATAGACTATGAGTTAATCTGAACGAAGGTTGCAAAAGGCATCATAAGGCTTAAACAATATAAAATATTTGAACGGCCCGATGGATTACTGATATGTCTTCTATATGATTACTTGCTACTCACTTTCTAATTGCTACCTAGTTCCCTCAGTAATCTTAAACTTGTATCCCTATGGGGAAGATAAAAAGTGGAAAGTAGGAAAAAGGCTTTACTTCCAAGATTAGTTTAGGTTCAGGAAATAAACATTTATAAAATTATGTGTTGCGTTGGTCTACTGAAACGTTCTATGATCCTGTTAAAATTAGTAGAAAGATAAGTAATTATCCAGCCAAAATAGGACACATAATCTATCGTTTCTCTCCAACTCTTCGAGACGTTTCTATTGGACTTTGATTTAATGGAACATTTTCCAGTAAACAGGCTTACTCATTAATAGGGCACTTCATTTCTACTATTATTTTGGTAGAATTAAATGATTTTCGCAGTTAGTGTTTATCATAGCTAACTTGTAATGTTAGGTTAACTTGATTTCGAATGAACATTGTGGCAATCCAAGATCAGAGACAGTTGTGTCTCCATAATTTTTATTCATACTGTTTATCTAATATTTATCCTAATAATAATAACCACAACTGCAAATATATCTTATTCACATTTTCCCAGAACTTATAATACGTCAAAGAAAAACACACCAATCGAAGAATTATCAACGAATGATTTGGCTAATTATTTAACAAAACTGAATGATCTCTTGTCAAGTTTCCAACTGGCTATAGATTTCCAAATTCAGCATATGCATTCAGATTTACTAGCCAGTACTTACACACTGTTCAGTTGGTATGATTCGAAAAGATTAAATGAAAAAACCACAGATGATAAGTTTGAACTACTTCAATCTTCTTTATTCAATAATGCAATTCGCTTTTTAAGCCAACTCACACGTAATCCTAACATAAGTAAAATTGAAGAATCTGTAAGTTCAACAAGTGATGTATTCACTATATTTTTCCATAATAATGTTTATATGAAATGTTCCCGCGCATCTTTGGGATGCGTTACTCTCTCTTTGGATGTTAAACGTTGCTTCAGGATTAGTCTGTGTTAACGTGTAAACAGTTTATATGGAATGAAGTAGTTGATGGTGTTGAGCACTTTATTTGTCTTTAAAGTCTTATCAGCTTTGGTGGGTCAGTGGCTGACGCAATCTCGCACCGGGTTCAAAATTCTCAATTGGGTTTGTCAACTTACATCACCTGTCGTATAGGCGAGATATCTGATTTTTAGATAAAACTGATATAGTGGGTGTAGCGGTGCGAAAGTAACTTTTGCGGTAGTTATACGATGGATTATTGTATATATTTTCATTGTATAAACATTAGGCTCTTTAAGTATATTTTTATATTCTCCTATTTTTAATTTTTCGTTTGATCTATAAATTGCCGTCACATGTCTTATTGCTTCAAATTTATCGTCATTTAATTATTTATTTTTACAGGGTGATAATAATACTGATAATAAACTGATGATATACATGGTGACGGTGAGGTTAAATAAACAAAGGTATTAGAAAAAAAATTTTAAAAAACAAGGAAAGTTTGATAGTTAATGGCTTAGATATTCATCGGGTAAGAGTAGCTCAGCATGATAAAATAACATAAAATGTTGAAACAGAGATGAAATGTAATCGGAATGATCGTTGAAATAAAAACAAACCGGTTGGGGGTACAAGATTTGAAGGGAAGATGGAAGGTGAAGCAGGTGGCTGTAAAAGAACAAGAGTAATGAGAAAGAGAAAAAATTTTTAATACATTAAGACCACGGTAAAAGAAGAGGTTGTACCAGTCTCTTTTGTACACATAATTCTGGTTTTTCAAAATGTATGGCTATTGCCTCGGCAATGCAAAGGAGATGTAGTCTAATTGTCTTAGGAAGCCTTCTACTTACCTTGTAGATGACTTTGAACGCAGAGTCTGTCTTGATTGAGTGACCTGTGTTCACAAGGTGTTCGATTATAGAACTTCTTATTGAGCCGCTGCCTCCTCTTCTTAGCCACGCCGGACAATGTTCTTGAATTCTTTTGGATAAAGTACGCATCGAACGACCTATATACCTAGCTCCACAAGAGCAGGTAAATTGGTAAATGCACATTGAATTGGTCAGATGCGATAATTTATCTTTCAGATTATTGGCGAACAGTGATCGGCTGGAGAATAATATTCGCAATGTTGCTGCGAAAAATGTTCTTTTTAAAGAATCTGAAATTCTCCTCTTTAAGATATATGCGGTTCTATCACCTTTGAAGTCGATGTTCATGTATAAAATTTTCTTTTCTACTGCAGTTGTTTGTGGTCTTGGCATTTTCGGTTTCATGTTCTTATCAATGAATATAGAAGGATATCCGTTTTTGATAAGTATCTCTTTTAAAAAACTCAATTGTTCCTCTACGACCTCAGGGCTACAGATTCTTCGTATTCTTGTGGCGAGAGTTATTATTAAGTTTCTTTTTCGGCTGATGGGAATCCAACTGTGGAAATTTGATAGTTGGCCATTCCACATGGGTTTCCTGTAGATAGATCTTTTTAAAGTACCATCTTGTTTCCTTGTTATATCTACATCAAGGAAGTGAATATTTTGTTTGCTTTCAACTTCAATTGTGAATTTTATTGATGGGTGACAATTATTAAATGTATTTAGGAGATCACTTAAGTTACATTTGTTATCACAAATGATAAAGATATCATCCATATACCTTTTATATAAGTGGAGGTTTTCTATAATTCTTTTAAGTTGGTTGTTTTCTAAACTGGCCATGAAGCAATCTGCCAGTAATGGACCAAGTGGGGATCCCATTGCTATACCATCCTTCTGTCTATAAATTACGTCGTTGAATTTGAACTGTACATTGCAAGTACAACGTAGTAATAATTCCTTCAAATAAACCTCAGGTATCCCAATGTTTATCTCAGTATTGTTTATGTACTTGCAGATAAAATTAATGGTTTCTGTAAGTGGGACATTAGTGAATAATGATTCCACATCCAGAGATAGCATAATTTTGCCACTTACATTCACTTCTTTTATGTGCTCGATAAATTCAAAAGTATCGCGTACAGAATGTTTACAAATGAGTTTTCTAACGGGTTCTAAGAGATTCGCCAACCACTTTGCTACAGGGTGGTAAGGGGATCCAGACATATCGAGAATCGGTCTAAGAGGTAGGTCAGGTTTGTGTATTTTTGGCAAACCGTATAATCGCGGTATTATCGATGCTGTTGGTCTTATGTGCTCAAATACCTGTTCGTTGATTAACTGCTCTTTTTTCATTTTCTTAAGGACGTCAATTAGTTGCTTTTCTATAATTTCAGTCTTGTTTTTCTCATTGTTGGGTTTTGAGAATTTGGTGTCATCTGATAACAACGTTGCCATTTTTTCAACATAATCCTTGCGATCTAGCAGCACTAAACCAGCACCTTTATCTGGACGTGTTATGATCAAGTCTTTATTATTTCTAAGTAGTTTTATCTGATTTCTATGTTCTTTTGTTAGTAGACTTTTGCCTGTTACTTTTGTGGTAATATATTGGTTGCAGCTGTCAAGAAGAGTAGATTTGAAACGTTGGAATTCTTGATCAGAGATTGGATTAAGACCATTTGTTTGTTTGATTAAGTTTTCGAATTGAACATGTGTGTTGATTTTGTTAACTTTTTCATTTATGTCGCAGAATTTTATCCCCAAAGATAAGGCTTCTAATTGTACATTTGTCAACGACATTGAAGAATGATTAAACACATATCTCTCAGGGTTGTTAGGAAAGTTGTGCTGTGTTTCTGTAGTTTTTAAACTTTTAGTGAGATCTGATATTAAGTTTTTTTGTGCGTTTGTTGATAACTGTGGTAACATAATCGGTGAAAAGATTGTGTTCGTTAGGTGATAATTCATATAATACAGGAAATCTTTGTGAAATGTTAAGTTCCAATAACGGAATGCGAGGACGAATAGAGTCAATAACATTTTGTGCATGGCGTTTAAGAGATTTCGAGTTTGGATAAATATGGTTTCTTCGAAGAATTTTCCAGTAGTATTTAGGATATTTGTGCATTTTAACGCGATCGTTAAGAAAGGTAATCTTCGCATTCACTTCCGCAAGTTTGACAGAAAAACGCAGAAACTCATTAAGTTCCTTTACTGTCGAAGGGTCCTTGGAATTTTTTAATAAACGGAATACACCCATTATTCTTATTTAATGTCATAATGGGTGTATTCCGTTTATTAAAAAATTCCAAGGACCCTTCGACAGTAAAGGAACTTAATGAGTTTCTGCGTTTTTCTGTCAAACTTGCGGAAGTGAATACGAAGATTACCTTGATGTAGATATAACAAGGAAACAAGATGGTACTTTAAAAAGATCTATCTACAGGAAACCCATGTGGAATGGCCAACTATCAAATTTCCACAGTTGGATTCCCATCAGCCGAAAAAGAAACTTAATAATAACTCTCGCCACAAGAATACGAAGAATCTGTAGCCCTGAGGTCGTAGAGGAACAATTGAGTTTTTTAAAAGAGATACTTATCAAAAACGGATATCCTTCTATATTCATTGATAAGAACATGAAACCGAAAATGCCAAGACCACAAACAACTGCAGTAGAAAAGAAAATTTTATACATGAACATCGACTTCAAAGGTGATAGAACCGCATATATCTTAAAGAGGAGAATTTCAGATTCTTTAAAAAGAACATTTTTCGCAGCAACATTGCGAATATTATTCTCCAGCCGATCACTGTTCGCCAATAATCTGAAAGATAAATTATCGCATCTGACCAATTCAATGTGCATTTACCAATTTACCTGCTCTTGTGGAGCTAGGTATATAGGTCGTTCGATGCGTACTTTATCCAAAAGAATTCAAGAACATTGTCCGGCGTGGCTAAGAAGAGGAGGCAGCGGCTCAATAAGAAGTTCTATAATCGAACACCTTGTGAACACAGGTCACTCAATCAAGACAGACTCTGCGTTCAAAGTCATCTACAAGGTAAGTAGAAGGCTTCCTAAGACAATTAGACTACATCTCCTTTGCATTGCCGAGGCAATAGCCATACATTTTGAAAAACCAGAATTATGTGTACAAAAGAGACTGGTACAACCTCTTCTTTTACCGTGGTCTTAATGTATTAAAAATTTTTTCTCTTTCTCATTACTCTTGTTCTTTTACAGCCACCTGCTTCACCTTCCATCTTCCCTTCAAATCTTGTACCCCCAATCGGTTTGTTTTTATTTCAACGATCATTCCGATTACATTTCATCTCTGTTTCAACATTTTATGTTATTTTATCATGCTGAGCTACTCTTACCCGATGAATATCTAAGCCATTAACTATCAAACTTTCCTTGTTTTTTAAAAATTTTTTTCTAATACCTTTGTTTATTTAACCTCACCGTCACCATGTATATCATAAATTTAATTATTTAGCTACTACTCCGGTTTCATATCACTTATGGCTGAATTATGCACCATTTGTAACTTTTTAATTTTGTTGTTTTGTCGTCAGACATTCCAGATAAATTACTGTTTAAATTTCAATTCATAATTGGAATAGAGTACAATGAAAAATTAATCTGCCTTCCGTCTATTTTTCTTGTTGGACACTTGGTTAAAAGTAGCTCGAAGATCTTGGTTATTGTTTATTGGTCTCTGTGTCATTTCGTAGATAGAAGTTCCCTGATCCTACAGAAAATATAAGCAATCAAACAATAACCGAACAAAAGAATATAACTGCTACTGTAATAAAGGCCGATCACAGTCTCAGTATAATCGAAGCATACGTTCCTCTTCTCTTTATTATATTAAAAACGACCTATTAGATTAGGAAAAATATTTAAGCTTCATGTTTTGTCTCATAGATGTCTCCGAAGCATCTCTCTCTCTCTCTCTCTTAGTGCAGCTATCTAGTAAGTAATGCTGTGATAAGACGCGGCTTAGATGGGAAAAATGGACAATTTATTTAATGGAGCTATAGATTTTCATCAGTTGAGATAGTTGGACACGCATAACGCGTGTCCTAGCCACCTACCTCGATGCATGATATTAGCTAACACAACGGTAAGTTGAAAGAGAGCTGGGGTAGATCAAATCAAGACGTAACACTAATTCATGTAATCAATGAATAATAATCTAAGCCCTCTTAGTAGATGCACGCTACCTGTTTGAATTTCATGCAATATCTATAATCAATAATTGGAGACACTGATTTATATGGCTCCAAATCGATCATATAAGGTATATTGATGCATATTTGCGTCAGGTCCTACAATGATAATGTCTGTCTAATGGCAAGTCTTACTTTTACTAAATATACAATAATATCTTTAGTCTACAACTCTCCAGTAATGTTACAACTGATGGAACTCAGTAGCCAGCTTCCGTTTAATGTTTTCTAAACTTCAAGCACCATTCACTTTGTGGATGTTCAAAAAGTTGAATGACATTCAAGGTCAAAATAGACGAACTGTGAAGTAAAATCCTGTAACTTATCACTGTTAAATATTATATATTTTTATGTTTA